TGCACCTATTGTACCATCCTTGCTTGAGGCCAATTGGTGCACCTGTACCCGGTTAATGATATAATGATGAAGCTGCAGCTGGTTACCAATGGGAATGACATACCATGTACATAAACTCGCACGGTCACAGAGGAGCTGTCAATAGTACTGAAATCTAGACATAGTAGTATCATATTCTTGTCATGTAATCGCTCTATATAAACTGTACTGCTTCTTAATAGTATCACATATGCAATGCTTCACCCCCAGTGGGTTAGGATTCCCCCGCCCCCAATGGTACATAGCATCAAGGCGCTTAAGAAGCCTCCGTATGTGGGAAGTCATTAGCCTTGATGCTTCTACGTCAAAACCTTATCTAGAAACACAACCTGTATATAGGTGTCACCGGTATTTTGATATAAGGGTCTAGTCTACATGTTATGAAGAAGCAGCTTAAGGATCACCGCGAGTTTAATGCAACAATATACCTCTCGTACTAACAGAGACCAGTTCCATCTCTCGCGCTGCTATGACATATATCATGATAGTGTGCCTCAGGATTATGAGAAACCACAGGATTCAATCAGAAACATAATCTCAGCACCAATAGTGTGTCAGAATAAAGACTGCCTAGAGCTGCAGAGAACTATAATATGGTCTTGGATCTTATAAACAAGGACCAAAGACCACATGGTCTTCAGGACCAGGACTAGACCATTCCTAGGCCTATGCCACGCAAAGTATTAGTAGTCTTTAATAATTATATAAGCGACAGATTATTCAAAATAATTATACTTCTTGTAGGGCTCCAACATACTAACATAACTACCAAGGTCAACTGGAGTAGTTTAAATAACGCCGGAGTTTGGGATACTAGAGTTTTGGGCTTTCTCGGTTATTCGGCCAAACCTCGGGGTTCAAAATCTGCCCAAGTGGCCGTATTCTCAAATGCAAATTCCACCGGCTAGTTAGAAAGTTGCCGGTGGCGCTGACAAATACCCCCATCACTCTTTCCAGCCACCGGCCATTGTTGTATTATTCATCTACAAGCAACCAGTCGACAATAACAGGTTGAAAAGGGATTCTTCAATTATTCCAAAGTTTTAAATTACTCCACATGTGTTAAGTTGCTTCTAGACTATGCCTAGGTACCTAAGTCATATGCGGATTTGTGCGAGGAACTTGAACAACACTCAGATGTTCCTGAGCCCCCAGCAATTTCCGCTTCCATTTTACTCTGTCATCTTCAATGCTCCAGGGCAAATACTGGTTACTAATTAGTAACAATGCCTACGAAGGACATCTGACTACCGAGACAGTGGCTAATTGGTCCTGCAAGAGGAGATCAGTTAATGAGTGTGCGATCTTGATATCAAAGATCAACTAGCCTCCAATTTCAGACCTGCTACCGTCACCTACACTCACAACGAACAGACGAAAACTGCTTTCTTTCTTTCTTTCTGTCCTTTTCGTATTTTTTTTCTGACCTCGAGACATAGAACACCGTCTGTATTATTGGTAGGATTATCATCATACCAGCGAGGTTGCTATTTGCACACTTTCCTATACGACTCCAGGGATGGGAACAAATAACAACATGACGCGCCATGTTAACCTAACAGCTCCCCTTTGTACTGCGACCTTGGTCGTCGAAAACGACACGATAGATCGTCTAGTCTCTCGAATTCGCCCTCGGACACGGAACAGCAAATCATCAAACTCATAGCATCGATTAAGGCATTGTCATAAGTGGCTCTATAGAATTGTTTTGGATTCGAGTTCTACGCGTACCACAGGTCCCGGGGGCTGGTTGTCCAGTGGGGTACAGTTGTATTGCTGGTACAATCCTACTCCGGAAGAGTAGTGAGATGTTTCCCGTTCCTGTCTATACTAGTGAACCGAAAGTTGTTGGAGATATGTTTATTTAGATGTCGACCTTGGTAGTACTGGAGTAGAGGTGTGGGGAGTAAAAAGGTGAAGGATTGAACCTAAGTTTAAGTATGGGGTTTTTGATATCATAGTGCGGCTTTCTTTGGGGCTTCGATAATTCATCAACAGATACCTTTTGATTTGACTGCTTGACATGTTAAATGTGAGATTGATTTCCTCAGGCAATCGACGGCACTGGTCAACTTGCGCTGTTGATTGTTATAGGTGGGGTTGCTGAAAAGGCGAACCTAGGCAATTCGGGTCGGCATATGACTAATCTCTGCTATGTTACAACCTTAGAAAGAACCTATCTAGGTCAGGTCTCCACCACCGCGACGCCCCAAAACTTCCTTTGTGTTGAGTGCATCAGACCCCAAACTCTTTTCTCGTGCGTCCATACATCCTCTCAGATGCCCATGCACGAATCAGAACAACCTCAGCTGTGCCACTCGAGACAACGCACATTCAAGGCGTGCGATCGGTGTCACAAACAGAAACTGAAGGCATGCTTACTTCCTGATTTGTTCATTGTCTCACTAATAGATGGGATTACAGTGTGAAACTGTCCGGCCATGTATCCTCTGCCGCCATGCTGGTCGCAAATGTGAGACCACTGATCGGCGAGCTTATCGCCGTCGGCAGGGACTACGCACACAGCGTGTCCCTAGCGTTGAGAATCAAAGTCCTGGGACAGCAGCAGCGCGCAACCCCTCACATGGCCCTACCCTGCCAGGCTCAAATGTAACCTACTCTGAAGGAACACAACTGGGCGAAACTACCTCTTCCATCGATTTTGCTCAGCGTATTTTTGACGAGGAAGAAACTGGACGCGTTCTGACGGCCGCCACTCTTCCGGGAGATGTGGCTGCTTCTAATCCCAACCTTGGCGATAATATGTGGCGCCTTCAGAAGATCAAACTACCCTCACCCAAGGTTATGTTGACACTCATAGATGCCTACTTCCATCGGATGCAGTGGTTCATATTGTTGTTTGTGGAGCCTGAATTTCGAAAATGTGCACAGAGAATCATCCCACACGACCAATGGCACCGCCGGGACCTAGGTGCGTGCATGGCTGTCCTAGCTGTGGCAGCTATCGGCTTGCAATCCGTGCTCCTAGATCGAGAATGGCCCGGGCATGAGCTATTGCGTATGCATAGCATTGACCCTCAAGTACTACTTGACGGCTTGATTTCAGAGATACGAGTCCATTTGCTAGATCTTTTGGAAGATTGTCCCATCGAAGCCGTCCAAGTCCCTATGCTCCTCTCTTGTTATTACGTCTTTCATAAACCACGCCTTGCGTGGACTGTTCTGGGGATGTCTGTGAGAGCGGCGTACGCTCTAGACATACAGCACCCGAAACTCACAGATACAGATCCGGTCATGGATGAAATCAAGACGCGCTGCTGGAACCACCTCATTGTAGCAGATACCTTTACAACGATGGTATATGGACGAGCACTTTCAATTGACTACGCAGAGGTGCGTCAACTGAGAGTTGTGGATGACCTTACTATACCATCCCCGCTTCTGAACCTTTTTCCTGAGATGGCTAGTAATAGCAATTCTGGGAGAAGCAAATTTCACATAATGAAGGCAGAAATTTACAGAGTCGTGCGTGAGACACTTTTGCAGTTTCGCCGGTTGCGCTTCGGACCAATGATGGAGGACAAAGAACTGCAGACAGTCGCCTCGATTACACAAGAATCAGACGGCAATTTGAGACTGTGGCGCCAAAGGGTCCCTCGAATGTTTGACTATAATTTTTGGAGCAGTGGAGGCTGGGAGGATATCACACAGGCTCTCCAAACATCTGATGTGTTAGTAAAGAAGCAAGCAGAGACTATCTTTCTCCAGGCAGCGATTTTACAACTAACATATGATTCGGCGCTCATCCATATTCACCGAGCGCTGCTCGAACGAAGAGTTCGAACCACTTGTAAGCCTCTTATTGAGGCGATCAACAAATCCCTCGTGGCAGCTACCACTGCAGCTCTCCGCATTTCTCGTATTCCGATTCATAAATTCCAGAATGGCTTTGCAGGGTCATTTGTTTCTATGCAACAATTCACTGCCGGTGCCATTCTTTGCCTTCAGCCATCCCTTCTTCCTTTTTCGCAGGCTGCTTTCGACGCTAAGGCTGGAGTCATGAGAATTATCAGGGCTAGTCGGGCTATCAGTTATCACAATCGAATCGCGAAACATATCGAGGAGCTTTTGACTGAGCTGTTGCGAGTCGTAAATGAGCGTGAGATGTCTCGTGCTCTAGTTGACGACCCGTCAGACGGCATGGCTGACAATAAGATGTTCATGTGGCTCAACCCTGCTATTTCTCGCCAAAGGAGAAGGGAACATGATCCTGATAGCCAGGCTTCCTCCTTGCCAATCGCTAGTGCCACTACGGAAGAACTGGTTGAACCAGATGTGTGGGACTGTGGAATAAATGCCGACTTCCCATCCGATGGTACATATATTTCACCAGTTGACTTTCCGTCAGAGTCTATTCTTGAACAACTGGACAGTACATTCGGAGCCTTTGGAGAACGTAAGTACTCGATCATCTGTGTAAGAATACATATTGCTAGTCTCAACTAACCATGTAACCAATAGTTATGTTCGATATGACCCCAGAAGATCAAAACAGTATATGGAATTGGGGTCGGACTTTCCCTTAATTTCTAGAGACTACCAAGGCTCATGCTGCACAGGCAGGTGCAATAAAGATGTGCTATCCACGAGACTATTTTCCTTCTAGGGGGAATTACGCAATAGTTGATACCTTTTATTCTCAAAGACGGGGCTCACTAGAGCGTTGATCTGTTGCAAGTGATGCACTGAACTATGATCCGTGTATTGTATGCTCTTTATCCGATCGTAAATCTAATCTCACGATATATGACTGAAGATGGCATTTCTGCAAATTTATCGGAAAGAGGTCTATTGGGTGCCTCAAAATTAAGGCTCTAAATATCGTAAGCACGTCCATGACGTAATGTACGCTGGTGCTACCCAAATGCCACCGGCATTTGCAGCCTCTTCTAGCAAGAGCTGTGGAGATGTTCAATAATGCTTAAATGTTGGGAGCCCGACCCTCGTTTACGGCTCAGTAAGGAAAATTTTCATACCACCTCGACAGGTATTTAGCTTTATCGTGCAAAAGCACTTGGCCCCAGTCGCTATATTTCCTAATATTTCCCTTGCCAACCTTTACTTTCAACAGTGTTTTCCTCGATGGCTCTGGATGATCGAATTCGTCTGCTGGAGCAGAGGCTAGCTATTTTGGAGGACAAGGAGGAACTATCGACCCTGATGAATCACTATTGTACTCTCGTGGACTCTAAACAGTACACCGAGTGGTCTAATCTCTTCACTGAGGATGGGATTCTAAATTTCGAGCCGTGGGGACCAGTCCAAGGGCGTGAGAATATCGCTCGGGTCACGTCGGATGCCGAAAAAGCATACGAGTGTATGATGCACTGCTTGACAAATGTTCAGTTCGAGGTTGACGGCAGCGACATAGCGAAGGGTTCTGCGTATATAGCTTCATATGTCACGCCTCATCTAAAGAACCTGGGTATAAATTTCGGTCTTGGTGGACGGTACTCGTTGTTGTTCAAGAGGACTGCGGAGGGTTGGAAGGTTGCAGAACACCTCTTAAGCCCTACCTGGACTCAAGGGTCGGACGCGTCCGGCAAACTCAACAGCTCAGAATAAGGATCATTCTCTAAACAAAAATGTATGTGATGCGATTCTTACGGTATTCGCTTATAATGGTTTCTCGCTAACTGCTATCACGCAGCGATGCGGCACCTGTTTCTGAGCAATGTCACACCAGCTCCAGTGGCAGCAAATTCTATGCAGCCACGTTGGCAAAAAAAAAAAAAAAAGAACAGGAAATGAATAAGTACAAAGCTAGCTCCCAAATACCCCGTCGAAGGCCATCGGGGGAATTGAACAATCAAGTAACCCTGAGATTTATGCTTACTTCACTCAAAATTCTGCCTATGCATGATGTTCATCATAGGTGCGTAAGAGATGTTAGATATACATCCTGTCCAAAGGGTCTTAATAGTATTGTTTGCATCTTTACTCTTCCGTTCTGATGGTCCTGTAGAAGTTCAACTCCCCACTTCAATAAATGAAAAGGGTGGAGTTACGAAGTCGAGAAATTGGAGTGGTCTCCATAGTGGTGCCCACCAATGAAAAATTCTTTCGATTCTAACCATGCCTACACCCTCCCAATTTCTTGAAAGTCGGCACTTGGGATTGCGCTTCTTTCAAGGCTTGTCCCTTTGAAGTTCGATTTGAATTGAAATCCCTGCGCTTTATTATCATCTACAAAAATTCGAACCACTTCTCCAAGTGGGACACCGCTAGTGTTGCGAGATGTCCTCAAGAAAAGCGACATTTACTTCCGTACAGGTGATGTGCTTAGGAGGTTTGCGATAGCAGATAATTTATCCTGGACAGATTTGATGCCGCTTGAAACACTTGAACTCACATTGCGAGCTATACTGACAGAACCCTTTTAGACGTAGTGATACTTTCCGATGGAAAAGCGAAGTTATATCGACATCCGAGCTTGAGAAGGCACTAGCAAGGTTTTTCGAACGTGATCGATGTCAGTAATAGTGGTGTAATGGTTACAGGCTACGATGGCAGACCCGGTCGTGCAGCCAGATTAGCGCGAAATCTTCAACTACCGCGACTTTTGTCCTTCGTGACCTCGAACCTGCCCCTTTATGCGGTTGTCATCTTTCAGGCTTCTTATGTATCCATCACTAAATGCCAACAATTTGCCACTCAAAGTGTCTCTGAAACACGACGGCATTGATTCCAAGAACATTGAACAGGGCAGAAAATACAAGATACTCAGGTGGCCACAGGGCCTTGGTCAGGAGTCAAGTGAGAAGCCTACATCATATGTTCCATTTACTGTGGCAAGATCATTGTGATCTTCGAGAAACCTCTCGTCAACTTTGAAAGAGAAGGCATCTAGGAGTTGATTGAATTTCTCTTGATTCACAGCCATCCGGGAGCACGTCTACACATTTCTACACGATAGGGGATTCAGCATGAGCTGGCGCTTTGTCGGCCAGGCTCAACCCGTACGTCACCATCTCTCGTATACCTCCGGTGATTACTTAACCGAGATGACTCAATTCAAGCATTTTGTGTAACAGGTTACATACTGCCATGACAGGTTGCGTCGGGAGACATGATTAATTACTGTATCTAACGCGACATCCAGTCTCTCGCCCGGTTTCAGAGAGATTTGAATTTCCCAGTAGAGAAGAAGGGATATTGTCAAATTGCAGGAACTGATTAGTTTTACTATATGTCTACGCTGATCAATTTAAACAATCTTGACTTAAGGTGGAAATGTGATAATTGCAACGCTTGTTGCCACGCCTTGCGGAGCACTAACACATTACACTTTTCCTTCATCCCCCCGGGGGGACTATATCTGAGATATTGATTAGGCAGGCGGTCGATAAATGGAAAGTCTACTCTTGATGCCAGTCTTGTGCCATTGGTCACATGTAATAGGGCACGCTCAGGCTAGCCATTGATAGAGCAGTGTCACGTTTGCTCTCAGATTTTGTTGTAGGAACCTCCATTTGCACATCCAGAGTCAAATGTTTGCTTCGATATGTCTCGTATCTTACGTAGGTGTCATGTAACACTAATTTGAGGATAATTACCCGAAGGTGCCTAAGGTGCCTAGATCCATATCACGATGCAGCTTCCGCTCGATAAAATTGCGAGAGTGCTTGGTAACCACAACGAGGAGGTTGATTCAAGTGTTATTCAGGAGTTTGAAATGAGCAACCAGTCAATGGAAGATATTGGGAATATTGGTAAACTTCTCAAAGGTCCTTTTCGGGTGGGAAGGGCAGGGGACGAAAAGTCAACTAGTGATTAGGCCGACCGGGATTAAGCTCAAGGAAAGCTTCGAGTCAAATGAAAAGCCAACTGATCAGCATTGTCGGAATAAAGAATTGAGAATTTGCAATTATTATGCCGAGAACCGTAACTGAATTACTTGCTGAGTAGACATCCTGACCCCAAGTGCCTTTAGTAGCAATATTCTGATACATGTGCAGCATATTTACTGTAATGATACTATTCCCCGATCTGCCGTGTCATCTGTAAACCCCCGCTACCTCAGACTGCCTTCAATGTTTGGTCTTACCAGGTTTTTGTTTTCATCAGCAACTACCTACATAGCCTTCATCAACACATGACTTTATGGATAATGGCCAATAGTTGTCTTAAGTCAGAAATATTATATACCGACTGTATGCACATCTGGGTTGTGCCTTCGACGTTTGATACCTCGTTTTAAATACGCGAGTGCAAGGTAATGGACTAGATGCGTTGTTAGCACCCGTTTCTACATGAGGAAAATACGTCAAATCCAGACTAACATATGAACGGATGCCCGGAACTCAGTTGATTGCCTAGGTGAGTGAACTTGCGCTACTTAGGTATTGATTTCTAAATCTTCTACCCGCATCCTAATCTATGCCAAACATTGAATGAGCTTCACAAGACAATATTATGAAAAGAAACATTTGAAAGGATAATCTCGTAATTCTCGAGCTTGTCTGGTCACATAACCATATGTGCACGAAATGTTGGCTACACATGCGTGGTTTTATATCTGGGGCAGTGGTGGGATCATTTGCAAGTCCACAAATTCTTGGAAAATCTTAAAGATAGACTCTGTGCTATCCACAAATCCAAAGAAACCAGCCTTTCGCGATTTGGACATACTGTATACAATAGTTAGGGTGAAGTACTCATACAAGAAATGGCAGCACTTGCGTTGAACATACCTCAAATGAGATGGCCAGGACGAGAGCACAGCCATATCAAGAAAGCCAAAAACGCGCTCCGCGTCCGCAAGTCCCAGTGCCGCATTGACTAAATTGTACTGATTTGAAATCTCTTTCCACGCGTTCTGTACTTCATTTTCTTTAGCCCATTCAGTAAATGTAAATCGTGCTCGAACCTTTCCAACAGGTCCAAACCCCCGAGGGGGTGGATTATGCCCAAATTCTGTAACCACATATGCGTGATCGTCCGCAGATGGCCCTGTCCAAGGAATACCAAATCTGTCGGCTAGCTTTGGCCAGAATTTTCCAAATGTAAATGCGCAGCCGTCGGTAACATTAAAGCTTTCGTTTCTGGTATTAGGTGATAAGATGGCCCACTCATAAAAGTAGGAATTCAGCTGCGCAGACGACATGCTTTGATTTGTCTCCCAAGCCTGCACGTCGGAGGGGTAATCTAAGGGCCTTCCCAAGTGTTTTTGAACTGTAGCATATATGGCAAGAGGCAGACAGATATTCATCGCGGCATCTTGAACAGCTCCGGGGATCCAAGACGGTCGGGTTGTATTCCAGCCAATGCCATGAGTCTCGCAAAACCCTTTTAGGAGATCTTCCTGGGAGTAGTAAAAGTTGGGCTCCAGAAAGATTCGAGGGTCAGTCTCTTCTTGGGGTACCGATATCGGTCCTTGATGGCCTCCATAATATTTAGCGCCTAGCTGGAGGAGGATTCGTTTTGGAAGGACTTTTGCAAGTACTAAGCTCTCAAGGAAGTTGCTTAATAGACCAGCTTGATAATAAGTCAGTATAGGCCAACCTAATGATTGAAGGTACGTGAATTTCCACACACTGTTTATAGCAACAAGTTCATTTGCTGCACTCCATATATTGCCACCTTCCTCCTTAGGTTTTGGCTGAATATATGCGAAGAAGAAGATATAATCCGCCTTCAGTTTGCTTTCGATTATCAGGCTGGCCAAGTCGCTTGGCGACTGTGAGAGATCTATAGGGATATGAGTGACGTTTTCTTGCCACTGCCCGGTTGGAGGACGTCTTGACATAGCATAGATCTTGCTCCATCGACCAGGGTTCTCGCAGAGCACACGAAGCTATGTCCATTAGCCTTGCAAGGCTTCTCAAAAGATTTTTGTACCCGACGTACCATATGATCACCTGAAATGCCAGTGGCTCCGACGACAATTGCACTGAGGCCATTGGTCGTTTCTGGGAAAACAGGAAGGCCGTGATAAATGTCTTTAGAAGCGATTTGTTGGACTGTTGGCATGCTGAGGACTGAGAACTCGAATACTCGGAGTTTTGAGGTTGCTAAAGGCGATAATGGCCCCAATGGGTATTCGAGCGATTGCCTTTATATGTGCATGGATTTACTGACGTTCTAGTATACGTTGGGACGGGACTGATGAACTGCCGAAATGCCACCGGCACGGTGCCCCACATTTCGCCGGTGGAGGTTCTTTTAATTCCAAGAGGACCTCCTTCTGTCATGAACAGATTCAGCGCAACGTGTCTTTTCACTACTCCTATCTTTGCGTCCTTTCTCCCTGAAAATCATTCAACGGTTTCAACATTTTCTTTGCTTTTCTTTTTTCCTCATACACTACTCCACTATATAGCTTTTCCCTCTCAAAATTATATCTAGTGCATCTCTTGCGACTAGACCAACCTTTACTTAAGGAGAGAAGCTGAACCTAGACAAGGCAATTAGGGGACTTCGGCAAGCTCTGGATATGTAAGATCTGTGATAGGATTCATTGGCTGCAGTGAAGGTCCCTTTAAATAACGTACTATTATAGTATTTACCAAGATCATCAGATTTTCAACAGTAATCCTACCGTATTCTACTATATATAAAACAGG